ACACACACACACACACACACACACACACACACACACACACACACACACACACACACACACCTGTGTGACTCATCCTCATCATCAGTGTTCTGACAGAGGAAGGTTTTAAAGATCCTACCCAGGAAATGTTTGTCGGAGCGGAGTTTGGACGGGTCCAGAAAAAACTCAATGAAGATGTAGGAGGAGAAGACCAGAACCAGACAGACCCCGAGCAGAGCCGAAACCACGCTCTGCAGGAAAAACCTGCAGGACACACAGGACAGATGACATCATCCTGTATATCTGTACACACAGGTGAGCCTCTCAGTGTGTGACAGTGTCCAGCACTCACCTGTAGTTCCTGCTGCCCACACAGTTGTTGAGCCAGCGGCAGTGATGGTCGAAGTTGGCCACACACTTGTTACAAACGCTGCAGTGCTTCGATTTTGGGCCCCTGAAAGAACAAACACACAAAACAGCACACATCAGTTCCTGTTTGTTGTTTTTAATCATACTGGGAACTACAACTCCCAAGATGCACTGCATCAAAAAGCAGCCAATCACAGTGCGTTTCCCACATTCCTGTGGAAGTTTATTTAATTGGTGACAGTTTCTGACATGTTTCTGTTGAAATGTCCCTCACACTGACTGACAAAGTGTGTATTTATATTTGGCTTACTGAATAAAAAATAAACAATTAAAATGATGTTTTTATTTGTGATCATTTGAAGCAAAAATCTAAATAAAAACTACAAATTAAATCATTTCTCAGCACTAACGCTGTACAGCTAACCCTGCTGGGTCTGAACCATTCAACAGGTCCTTAGTGTCGGGTCAGGTTCTGCTGCAGGACCGGTTCTGGTTAAACAAAGTCCCTGAGGTTGTGTCTCTGCAGCCTGTGGGGACAGCAGGGACACTCAGGGACACTCAGGGACAGCAGGGACACTCAGGGACACTCAGGGACAGCAGGGACACTCAGGGACACTCAGGGACAGCAGGGACACTCAGGGACACTCAGGGACAGCAGGGACACTCAGGGACACTCAGGGACAGCAGGGACACTCAGGGACACTCAGGGACAGCAGGGACACTCAGGGACACTCAGGGACAGCAGGGACACTCAGGGACACTCAGGGACAGCAGGGACACTCAGGGACACT